CAAGACTAGTCTCAGTCTTGCACATGCACTCACTGCTGTGATGCCATCTGCTATGAGGTCCCTCAGCTGAACAGAAGCCAGTGCCATGCTTTTGGACTTTCAGAACTGTGAGCTAATTATAAATCATCTCTTTACAAATTACTAAGTCTTAGGTATTTTGTTATAGCAACAAAAAATGGGCTAATACAATAGCAAAGCAACAAAAACTTATTACTTACAAATATGGAGCTAACGATCAGGAGAAATAGAAAGTTGAGAACATGGAGAACAGGACTGGAAGATTAGAAGGTTGGGACTAACAACAGTTTCTGTACCCTAACTTAAAAAAAAAAAAAGCCCTTTGGTAGTACCTGACTTTTAAAACTTTAATGTATTGCTTTGATAAAAAATAAAAACAAACTTAAAAAAATTTAATTAAAAATCATGAATATCTACTATGTTAAGTACAAGATACCCAATAAAATTTAAAAGTGTGTTATACAGATTAAAAGAAAATTTATTTTTCATTATAAATCTCATCCAACAGTTGATAATACTTCTTGTTAGAATTAGACTGGTATTAGTCTTAATACTTCAGAAACTACTGTTACCAGTGTATTTCAAGACCAGTTACACAGTACATTCTAACTTAACCACATCTTAAGGAAATAAAATATAAAATTCAGGATCTGTTGAGAACCCTTAATTTAAAAGTCAAATATTTCAAGAGAATTTATGTAGAAAATAGTAATTAGGTTTCCAGTATAAGAATGTATTTATTATTTACATCTTCTCTTCCAAAAGTCATTGAAATGATGGGTTAAAAAAAAAAGTTGAGGCGACAAATTAAAACTCCAGAATGAGAAAGGGCAGTAACAGTAAAAAGATGATGACAGATTTCTGGAGAATTAAAGGCAAAGGACTTAAACTGCTAGAGAATTCAAAGAAAGGAAACCTAACTCCAAACATGCACAGAAGGCAGCCACAGTTCAGGCAATAGCAACATTTTTCAACAGGAAAAAAAAAATTACAGGTCTAATGTACTAGAATTGAAGATTATTGCTTTCACTGTTGTTCTCAGAAGATTAAGGGTTTGTGCAACAATTAGGCACTTGGGGTCAGCCTGCTCCAATGCAAACACATTCCTCCCCAAAAGTAACTGCCAAATATAATGAGCAACCTGTTTAAAGCTCCAATAGTTGAGGCTGGTGCCATAAGGTAGCAGGAAAACAATATATCCTAATTTGCCCATGGCAATCCTAATTCTAGCACATGCCAATTTATGTTCCAATACAATTAGTGCTCCCCTTCATTCTCAAAAATGCTTGGATGGGGCTGGAGAGGAGGGGTATAAACATAGCACTTGCCTAGCAAGATTTTTCCTCAGCACTGCAAAAATAAAGTTTAGAATGTTTGTGTGATCAATTATATAGTCACTTTTCAAAGTAGGAAGCCTCTTTGCTTTGGCTGACAGAGAAGTAATTCCTGCCTATTCCCATTCCTATCCACTCACCACATACAATTTCTAGCCCTCTGGACAGAAGTAGCAAATAATAACAGAGAAAACCCCTGTCAACTACCTAAGTAAATCAACTTCCAGAACATATAAATGAACCAACAATGAGGCATTTTTCTTTAAAAGAAAAAGAAGCAAAACCAAAATGGCCACTATAATGAGACCCAGGAAAATCCAAGAAATCAAGAAACAGAATATAACTTAAATATATGCATGCTTAAATTTAACTTAAGGGTAGATAAATATATATACACACACAAACATATTTATCTGTGTGTGTGTGTGTGTGTGTGTGTGTGTGTATACAATACAGTGCTTATCCTCTCAATTTTGAGAAGCTATTTCCATAAAACAAACTACAAGCTGAAACTAAAAAAACACAGGGTAGCACAGGAGTTAAGAGAGCCAGACTGTATGGATATGTATCTCAGCTTTGCCATTTATCAGCTGTATACTACAAACCAGTTACTTATCCTCTCTCAGCCTCAATTTTTCTGTAAAATGGAAACACTACAAGTCCACAAGTTAAATTAGTTTGTGTATTATATTAATTTAGATGATATGTGCAATGCACTGAGAAACAGATGACTGGTTATTATTTGTAAATATTAAAAATATAATTACTACAATAAATTCAATGGAGGCAGCTGGAATATTTGAAGAAAGGCTTAAAATAACAGAAAGGAATGTATATTATCAGGAAAGGAATATACATTAAGACAATTAAGAAACATAAAGGATTTGTCCAGAAAGGAGTAAAATAACCCCACCTAAAAAAGATTTTTAAAAAAGTAAAATAAGAAATCTAGAAAATTTGAAAATCAGGGAAAAAGAGAAGATTCTAAATAGCTAGTTAATTATTTATTTAATTAATTAGTTAATACCTAATTGAGTTAATTATCAATACAGAAAAGCAGGTCTTTGTAATTAAGACTTTTGAATATGCTATACATGATATTATACAGAAGAAACAATGAGGGGAGATTATTTTTTAAACTTGAATTTTATATCCAGACAAACATTTAAATGAATGAGAATGCTGTCCTAATATATTGCAATTTAGAAGGTGAAGAAACTATACACTGTTAGCAAAAATCCTGTGCTTTTAGAGACCCAACCTTCATTAACACATTGACTGAGATTCTACAGTAATATGCAAACTTGTTTTCTCACCTGGGTAGAAGGATATACTTTAAATTTGCCTACAGTTTCCCATGGGTGTAAAGTTGAGGTGTGAATAAAGTGTATCCTTGTTGGCATCTTTGAATCTCACAATTTAATAAATTAATTAATCTTATAGCTAGGGAGACAACCTTCTCAGAACTTTTTCTCCAGCTCTTTGTATCAAACTAATACATAGCAGATGGAAAGAAATTTGTATGACCTTTAACCTATTCAAATTTCATGGCTGATTTGTTTTGTTGTTTTGGAGATAGGGATTCCTTGTAGCCCAAGCTGGCCTCAAACTTGTGATCCTCCTGCCTCAGCTTCCCAAGTGCTGGGATTACAGGCAGTCAGGCTTTTTTTTAATCATGTAAACAAAGATTGTTTTGTTACTTAAAATGTGAGAACCACAATATTCTCCCTAGTCAAAACACAGATTACAAACATTCAAGATATTGTGATTCTTCTGATTGAGACATTATTTAGTAAACACAGATTTAAAATAAGGCTATGCCCCTTCAGAAAGGACTCCTTTTCTCTACTATCTGAGGAAATGGTTACTGGTATCTTTGTTGTTGCTTTTCCTTTGGCAGCACCAGGGTTTGAACTCAGGACCTCACATGCTTGCTAGGCAGGAGCTCTTATTGCTTGAGCCATTCTGCCAGCTCTAGTTTTTATTTGTGAAACTGCTACCACATCAACTTTTATTGCAGGATCCTGCTTCTAAAAATGTATGATTCTGCAGGCTTGCAGTGGGGCCTATATGTTGCTTTTATAAAATGCTTCCATCATGGTAAAATTTACCATTTTGAACAACTGCAGGTGTTCAGTTGTTTTGTGATGTACATTCCCAGTGTTGTGCAATCATCACTACCATGGGACTTAAGAACTTTTTCATGTTCTCCAACTGAAACTTTGTACCCATTAAACACTACCTCTCTATCCTCCCCTCTCTCCAGTCTCTGGGAATTGCTGTCTCTTTGCTATCTCTAGGTATCTCAAATAAACTGTCCTTTTATATATGCACTACCATATATTTTAAGTTTTAGTAACAGACACATTTGCTTGAGTAAAAGAGAACTGCCTTGGGCTGGGGACATGGAGGCAGAGCACCTGCCTAGAAAAGCAGCAGGCCTAAGTTCAAACCCCAGTACCACCAATAACAATTTATTCAACCAATTCTCTAGCATCCAGCGTTTTTACCTACTTTTTACTAAAACAACATCAAAACGAAACTCATATATTTAAATCTTTTTACATCCTAAATTTTCTTAGAATGAATTTCTAGAAATAGAATCCTGTGTCACTGATATTCATCCCCCAAATGTTAGTGTCTAACATTCCCTGCCCATTTCCCCACAGTCTTCATGTCTCCCTTGTTTTTAAGGTTTCTGTTAAAAGCTTTTGTAAAGTTAAAAAACTGCAGTAGAGGTATGCAAAGTAAAATCCTTAATATTTGAATTTTAGTTATTATTTACTTGGGAAAACAAGCACTCAATGTCATGTTGTGATATTTTTCTCAAGCACGGAGAATAATTTCAATTTATGGTTTCAGGGGAATAAAACTCAGTGCAGTAATTAAGGTAAATACTATGTTAAAAATCAGAAGTGCCTCAAAATTAGTCAAAACTCAGCCCTTCTTGAGTCACAGGCAAACACCAGAAACCCTAGAATTAAGAAAAAAATGAGTGCTCACTGTGTTGAGGCTCAAAAGGCTGGGCTAAGCTGCCAGCCCCAAACACATCAAGAGCTCGCTAGCTCGCCTGGAGACACGCCGCTCTACCTAGACACTTTCTAAACCGACACTTTCGCAGCAGAAGCAAACTGTGAACAGGTGCTACCCCCACCCCCAACGGAGGTGACGAACACGTGACAGTCGGGGTGACTGGATCACCACCATGTGGCTAGCAGTTCCCACGAGCGGGATGGCGCGACCCCTGTCCTCATCCCTGAACTAGGGTTTGGAATTTCAAGACTCAAGGGACGGATCCTGGCCAGTTCAAACTCAACCTGAGATTGGGAGGGGAAAGGAGACTTCTGCTGGAGGTCCCCGCCATCAGGCAGGATCCATGCCAAACCTTGGCACGCATCCTCAGGCCAAGGTTCGGCATTACAGAAAACTCTGAGTCAGTTGTCACCATAGACCCCGGCACACCATCCCTGGACGGACTCGGAATGAGGGAATCCGGATCAGGACTGCGGTAGGACCTGGGCTGACCTGAACTCCTAGTCAATTCGGGCTTTTTGTAACGTAAAAGGTCAAGAAACAACTTTGCCCCATCCTCAGCCTGGGCGGTGTCAAGTATCAGGAACTAGGAGAGAAAGGCCGCGATCACTGTACCTGAGTGGAAGCTAGCGCCTGCTGGAGCTGCTGCTGCTCCTCGCTGATCTTCTGCTTCAGTTTCTTGAACATGGTGCGCCGCAGGGTCCTCAGAGTGAATGAGGCCGGAGAGACCAAGTTCGGTGCGTCTGGGCCGCGAGGGTGGCGGTGGCTTCTCTACAGCAAGGGCCGTAGCAGCCGGGCCTCCCCGCCTTCTTGAGCTGGCGGGCGGACCAAGGAACTGGTCCTGTGGGCGTCGGCGTCGCCGCTGCCGCGTCTCTTTCTTCCCGGTGCCACTGGTTGGCCTTGGCCCCCCATCCAGCCGGGGCGGCGGCAGCAGCAACAACGGCAGGTGAACGGTGAGCCAAGGGCGCATGCGCAGCCTACGTGGAGCTCGTGGAGGACGCTCTACAGAGCGCTGTGGAGAACAATCCCAGAGGTGGTGCCCGCGCATGCTCTCGCGCTACCTCCAGCTGGGAGAACTGAGAAAAAAGAGGAAAGGCTCCTTCCTCCTACACCATGCAAGCAGAGAGAGGCGGGGCCTGACCGCTGCTGAGCCGGACCGCTGCTGAGCCTTCTGAGTGGGTCTCAGTCTTGGCAAGTCTGGTGCTGGAGTGCTGGAGTGTGTGAAAGGCAGCAGGAGCCAGGCGCCCCAGAGAAGAACCTGAGTCTTCCACCCTGCTAGGTATGAAAGGAAAAGAGAGAGACGACAGAGAGAGAGAGAGAGAGAGAGAGAGAGAGAGAGAGAGAGAGAGAGAGAGAGAGAGAGAGAGAGAGAGAGAAGAGAGAAGAGAGAGAGACTCTGACAGGTGCGAGAGCCCATTTCACTTCACTTTCATTGAGACATTCTAACTCTGGATTAGGTGGGTTTTTCTCATTGGCCATGGATTAGCCCGGCTTTCTCGGGTGAACTGGTTTGGTTTGCACCTTTATTGGGGGAGGGAAAACAATCTTGAGAGCATTTTGCTCATCAGCCCTGTGGCAGATCTGTATCTCTCCTTCAGGATGCAGGAATGCAGGCCTCCATCTCCTCAGGATGTAGGAATGATATTGCCCTTCATGGGGGATGGGATACTTATCTGCCTTAGGATATCAAACCCAACAAGACAATTATGTAAATACATAAATTGTACCCTGGTTTGGTGCATCCACTCCATTCTCCCTCTTCTCTCACTCCCCTTGTTAAAATGACTTCCACAGGTTTTCATGTTTCATATTCATATATGTGTAGAAAGTACCTCAAACGTATCCACCCTTCTTTACCCTCCTCCTCCTCCTACTGCCCTCCCCTTAACATGACCACTTTTATATTCTTGTTCCTTCATTGTTTAAGTGTCTGTTAATTTTTCAGTGGGGGTTTGCCTTGGTATTTTCCTGTTAATATGTTGTACTTCAGTCACTCTAACCCTCTCTATTACACTTCCTTACTCTTTTCCCCTACCCTGTATTGTTCAGTATTTTTCATTGTATTTCACTGTCTTGTTTCTACACAGATGTGATTTATTTCAATATTATTTACTATCATTCTTTTCTTCTTTTCCACCTCCCTGACTCACCTCTAACCAGCCTATTGGAAACGTGTGTGTGTGTGTGTGTGTGTGTGTGTGTGTGTGTGTAAGTTAATGCTCGTATTTGTATTTGGAGCTATCTTGCAGGTATGAGAGAAAACATACAACATTTGTTTTTTTGGATCTGGCTTACTTAACATGATGTTCTGCAATTCCATCCATGTACCTGCAAACATCAAAATTTCATTCTTTATGGCTGAATAATATTCCATTGTACATACATACCACATTTTTGTTAATCTGTCATAGAGTATCTGTGCTGTTTCCATAGCTTGGCTATTATGAACAATGCTACAATAAACATTGGCGTGGAAGTGTCTTTTCTGTATCCTGAACTACATTCCTTCAGATTTATGCCTAGGAGTGGAATTGCAGGATCATATGGTAGTTCTATTTTTACTTTTTGAGGAACCTTCATACTGCTTTCCATAATGGTTGTTCTAATTTGCATTCTGACTAGCAGTGTATAAGGGTTCCTTTTCCCCAAATCCTCACCAACATTTGTTGTTGTTTGTGTTCTTAATGATAGCCATTTTAACAAGAGCGAGGTGGAATCTTAATGTGTTTTTGATTTGCATTTCTTCTATGGCTAGGGATCTTGAGCATTTCTTCATGTGTTTTTTAGCCATTTATACTTCTTCCTTTGAAAAATTTCAGTTCATTTCATTTGCCCATTGTTCTTCCTAAGGTCATGGTTCTCTGGGAGATTAGCTTTTTGATATCTCTATAAATTCCAGCTATTAGCCCCTTGTCGGATATATAGCTGGCAAAGATTTTTGTCCCATACTGTGGGCTGACTCTTCAGTCTGGTGACCACTTCCTACGCTGTGCAGTTTCATGTACTGCATTTGTTGATCTTTTCTCTTAATAGCTGAACTATTGCAGTTTGATTCAGGAACTTATTTCCTATACCTATATGTTCCAGTGTTTTTATGTATTCTTTCCTGTAGTATTTTCAAAATTTCAGGCCTTACATTAAGGTCTTTCATCCACTTTGAATTGATATTTGTACAGGATGAAAGAGATGGATCTAGTTTCAGTCTTCTACATGCAGATATTCAGTTTTTCTAGCACCATTTCTTAAAGAGGCTGTCTTTTCTCCAACATATGTTTTGGGCACCTTTGTCAAATGTCAGATGCCTGTAGCTATGTGGATGTATGTCTGGGTCTTCTATTCTGCTACATTGGTCTTAGTGTCAGTTTTGTGCCACTACCATACTGGTTTTTTTGCTATGGGTCTGTACTATATAGTTTGAAGTAAGGTATTGTGATACCACCAGCGTTGCTCTTTTTTTCCCAGGGTTACCTTGGCTATTCAGTCTTTTGTGCTTCCATATGAACTTTATAGTTGCTTTTTTCAATCTCTCTGAGAAATGTCATTGGAAATTTGATGGGTATTGCACTGAACATATAGATTACTTTCGGTAGTGTAGCCATTTTCATGTTATTAGTTCTGGAGATCCATAAGCATGGGAGATCTTTCCATCTTCTGATGTCTTCTTCACTTTCTTTCTTTAGAGGTTTATAGTTTCATTAATTTTGTATCCTGCTTCTTTGCTGAAGGTGTTTATGATGTCTAAAAGTGTTTTTGGCGCAATTTTTAGGGTCAGACCCATTTTGTAAGACCCCAATCACTTGCCTTTGTTCTTAATTCAATGAAATCATATATTTCACATACTCATTCAAAAACCTTTTTTTCTCATTATAAGTGCTAGTGCCCTGATGGTATTAGTAAGAAAAATTCACAACCTAGTGGATTCAGATTCCTAGAATGCAGATTTTACCTAACACCTGCAATCATTCTAAGAGATACTAATTTTTATATACCTAATTCATTCAGCACCCTGAACTTTGGCCACCTCTGAATACTCAAACCAGTCTCAGAAGCTTACATCTGCATGAATCTGCTTATATTGCCTTACATTCTAGCATATGCGGATGTCCACATTTTAGCAAATTTTATTTACCCGCAGTAATAGTAGCCTACTGTTCTGTTAAGATTCCAATAGCTAGATCCTGAAATATATTAGAGCAACGCTGGGGCCTTGAACACTATTTTAACCCCTAGTTAAATCCTTTCATATGTTATAGTGAACAAAGAGTTTCCTTCTTTCTTTTTCAGAAGCCTTATCTATCAAAAGACTATAAAGTTCACAAGGCCTGTAGCTTTTCTAGCTCCAGATACCCCTGTGCTTTCTCACTCTGGCATTCACAATTGTATGCCGAAGAATGCCAGTTTTATATTTGCATGAATGTATAGCTTTGTGAGTCTACGTATACATGTATGAGGGCCCTATCAAAGCAAAATATAACAAAAAGTTGAATAAGAAGATATCTGAGATATCATTTAGAGAAAGACAAAGATCAGAAGGCAGAAACTTATGAGAAAAAAGAGATAACCTTACAGGACACACACCCACACACACATGCAAATAAAAAGTTGAAACCCTTTATCACTTTAACAAAACATTTGAAATATTAAGTTTATGCAATTAGGGCCATTCTGCTTCAGGTCTCTGGAAATTAATAACATTCTCTTGTTGTCTGTTCTTAATTAAACCTACAAATTACTCTTAACTTTTCAGCCACTCTGGGTGTGACAAATTTATATATAAATCACCTTCTGAAGTGATGGTGTATACGTCCTGGTGTATAAGAACTGGTCACAGGGTTCTTTGACACTGAATAAAAAGATAGATCCAGTACTGTAGAGTGCCATTTATTGGGGACTTACTGACACAAAAGTGATTTAACTGAAGCCAGAATGTACCTGGTTTCACTCAGGCTAATATGCAAAAATTCCTGATGAGGATAGCATCAACTTTACACCAGGATCCAGTTGTGAAACTTCCCATATCATTGTAATGGTTTTGTGTACTTATAGTATAATGTGAAAACTGACTAGGGTCACTCACAGCAGTTAATGACTCAGTATAGCTACATGCATTCATCCATGAAGGTTCTGGCTTTGGCCCACTTCTCACAGTCCTGGAACAGCCCAGCCAGATTACATGTTAATTTGAACTCATCTAAGTAGCTGCTTTAAGACTAGTGTACCTCATTGCAGAATGGAAGGATATTTGAAATAGGCTTGCTTCCTTTTAATGACTAGAGACCTCATGAACTTATTTCTCAAGTGGAACAAGTACTCATTTTCTTCAACACAAAGAAGCATCTTAAGTATGGCTTAAACATAATTGTCATTACTCCAGCCCATCCAATTGCAGACAATATGTCTGCATTTCAGGAAATTTGAAAAATAATAATTACTGGAGAGTGGTTCATGAAACAATACTATATATTATCAAGTTCCCTTTCAAGCCTTACACAAGAATATAGTATGTCAGAAAATACTTCTTTCTAGCCAAAAGAACCAATACACAAATAAACCTTTGATTTCCTACTTTCTGACCACAAATGCCTTATCAATGCCTTTTCATCCCAGATACACTTTCTTAACCCTGATTAAGAGTTCTTGTACCTGCATAGTATAATATAGTGGTTAAAAAATGTCTTTATACCAGTTGGAAAAGTGGATTTAAAAGGAAGACCTGACAATCTGTTGTTTACAAGAAACCCACCTTATTGACAGAAACAAGCACTGTCTTAGGGTGAAAGGGCAGAAGAAGATTTACCAAGCTAATTGCCCATCAAAACAGGCAGGAGTAGTAATACTTACATCAGATAAAATGGACTTGAACCCTAAATTAGTCAGAAGAGACAAAGGAGGTCACTTCATACTAATAAAAGGAGCAACACATCAAAAGGAAAT